ATATATATATATATATATATATATATATATATATATATATATATATATATATATATATATATATATATATATATATATATATATATATATATATATATATATTATATTTTATACATACTGTACACATACACAGCCATTATGTTAATATTTGTTTAATTTTCTAAAAATCTGATAACATAAGTATTAGTAAAACAACAGTATAGTGTTCAAAAAAGTATATTCACTTTGGAAACATGGCACTTTTGCTTATTTTATTGGAAAGCTTATGGAATAAAACAAAAATCACTTAGTCTTCACTGAAATATTATACCATAAAAAAAAGATATGTGAAATATCTATTATTCAAAATGCCTGTATAAACTCTATAATGAATAAATATTTAATTTACCATCCATTTGTCCAGTGATAAGGCAAAGGAGACATATCCTTCTGCAGGTCCACTGAGCTCAAACATTACACTGTTACTCTCTGCTCTGAAGGACAGGAAGTGACACGCAGCGTCATTTTGTGGTTCACAGCCCTCTGGATCTCTCAAACAGGACTTCTCGATTCCACAGCCATCAGCTGTGAACTGACGAGAAAATAATGAGTATTATTTGACGTCATGTGTCAGTTTCTGCTCTATCAGATGCCTAAAGTGAACAATAAATGGTGCTAATACAGTATATGCTTATAGTGCCTCATTCATGGAACTATTTTAGTGTAAATGGTTTGTAAAGCTGTTCCGATGACATTTTTTGTATTCATAAAAGTGTTTTTTTCATTTTATTTTAGTTGGTATGAACTAAATGTACACCTACTCCCATTTAAATGCTGCTCAAAATTTAAGTTCTCTTTTTGCTAAATTGATCACTGAATTTTGATAATAATTAGGGGTGATCCATTAAAATGGGGATCCATTTAATAATCCATTCAAATATTTAATCGTGATTAATTGCATGATAGGCGGCATGGTGGCTCAGCAGTTAGCACAGTCACCTCTCAGCAAAAAGGTTGCTGGTTTGAGCTTCGGCTGGGTCAGTTAGTGTTTCTGTGTGGAGTTTGCATGTTCTCCCCTAGTTGCCGTGGGATTCCTCGGGTGTTCCAGTTTCCCCCACAGTCCAAAGACATGCGTTATAGGTGAAATGAATAAACTAAATTGTCTGTAGTGTATGTGTGTAAATAGGTGTGTATGAATATTTCCCAGTAGTGGGTTGCAGCTGGAAGGGCATCCGCTGTGTAAAACATTCATTCATTCATTTTCTTGTCGGCTTAGTCCCTTTATTAATCCGGGGTCGCCACAGCGGAATGAACCGCCAACTTATCCAGCAAGTTTTTACTCAGCGGGTGCCCTTCCAGTCGCAACCCATCTCTGGGAAACATCCACACACATTCACACACACACTCACACACTACGGACAATTTAGCCTACCCAATTCACCTGTACCGCATGTCTTTGGACTTTGGGGAAAACTGAAGCACCCGGAGGAAACCCACGCGAAGGCAGGGAGAACATGCAAACTCCACATAGAAACGCCAACTGAGCCGACGTTCGAACCAGCGACCCAGCGACCTCCTTGCCTCGAGGCGACAGCACTACCTACTGCGCCACTGCCTCGCCTGTGTAAAACATATGCTGGATAAGTAGGTGGTTCATTCCGCTGTGGCGACCCCTGGTTAATAAAGGGACTAAGCCAAAAGAAAATGAATAAATGAATCAATCAATCAATCAAATAACAAGATCAAAAAAAAAAAAAGAACATAGTCTAACTTTGAGTAGGACTAAAAAAATCTGTAAAAAAATTATGTATGCAATTTATACAATCTCTGTAGCTCGTGAACATTCAATGGCTATTCTGGGGGAAGAGTAATGTTTAGTGAGTTCAGCTACTAACATACAAACAATACAATGATTGAGCATGATGAATTTAAAGATAATTAAAAGTTTCTTAACATTCATAAAGCACATCAGCAATATTTCATGGGACATTACTATGGGCTGAAGCACATACAGTTAAAGTGTAAATTACTTGACCTCCTGTGAATTTCTTTTTCTTTTTCAAATATTTCCCAAATCTTGTTAAACAGAGCAAGGCATTTTTCACAGTATTTCCTATAATATTTTTTTCTTCTGGAGAAAGTCTTATTTGTTTTATTTCGGCTAAAATAAAAGCAGTTTTTTTATTTTTTAAAGACATTTTAAGCTCAATATTATTAGCTCCTTTAAGCAATATTTTTGTTTCGACTGTCTACAGAACAAACCATTATTATACAATAACTTGCCTAATTATCCTAATAAGCCTTGTTAAGTCTTTAAATGTCATTTTAAGCTAAATACTAGCATCTTGACAAAAATATCTAGTAAAACATTATGTACTGTCATCATGAAAAAGATTAAATAAATCATTCGTTCATTCATTTTCTTTTCGGCTTAGTCCCTTTATTAATCCAGGGTCGCACAGCGGAATAAACCGCCAACTTATCCAGCACATGTTTTATGCAGCGGATGCCCTTCCAGCTACTACCCATCTCTGAGAAACACACTCATATACTACGGACAATTTAGCCTACCCAATTCACCTTTACCGCATGTTTTTGCACTGTTGGGCAAACCGGAGCACCTAGACGAAATCCACGCTAACGCAGGGAGAACATGCAAACTCCAAACAGAAACGCCAACTGACCCAGCCGAGGCTCAAACCAGCACCTTCTTGCTGTGAGGCGAAAGCACTACCTACTGCGCCACTGCAATGCCATTAAATAAATTAGTTATTAGAAATGAATTATTTTTAGAAATGTATTGAATTATTAATATTATTTTTACATTAAACAGAAATTAGGGATAAAAATACACAGGGGGGCTATTAATCCAGGAAGGCTAATAATTCTGACTTCAACTGTATTTCCATAAAGCCAATGTTGGACTAAACAGCAATCATAAAGATTTTCCTCAGTATAAATGAGAGGAGGCTTGGATTTAAAAAACAATACACCATACTGTATGTCAAGTGGATCCCGATTATTCAGAGTCTGAAAGGGTAATTTGACTCACTGAACGTGACAGTGTAGAGGAAGTTGTGGTTTCACTTTGAATGGAACCTCCAAAAGTAGTTTGTGGTGGAGGAGCAGCACCATTTTGGGACACAAGTGGACCTGGAATCTTCACCCAATAATCATGCATGCCTTGGGCAACAGTTACCCTGAATGCAAAGAGGAAAAACAACTCACATTATGATTTGGTACATAGAAAATTAGTGAAAAATAAAAATAAAACAAAAGATTAAATACTTACAGAAACTGCACACTGGAAGGAGAGTCAGGCGGTGCAACCCAGATCACCTGGACCTCAGTCTTGTGCTTGCCACTGGTATGACTTACAGCAGAGTCCTGTGAATATTTAATTTGAGTGTATTTATCTAGAGACATTTTTATGTGTGTCATTGTTTATTCATAAAGTACTCGGTTAAACTGAGACAATAATGAATACATCACTAGAGTATGGGACAAATAATTAATTGGGCCCTATCATACACCCAGCGCATTGTGGCGCGAGGCGCGGCGCAGTAGTCTTTTGGTAGTTTCAGCTTGGCGAAAGAGTCGTTTTGAGGCGTTGCGCTACGCTGTTTAAATAGCAAATGCATTAGCGCTCATTTTTGCGCCCATAGGCGTTCTGGTCTAAAAAGGAAGGCGTTCTGAGGCGGACTGCTGGCGCGTTGCTATTTTGAGAAACTATAACAGATTTTTCATTAGACCAAAACTAACCCGGTCTAAACTCCGGCGCAGAGTTGCGCCTCGCTTATGCACTGCTTAATACGCACAAGAGAGCAATAGGCAAATATCTTTACATATGAAAAAAATTAAATATTAAGCATATATGTAGGATATAATAAGAATAGATATAGAATATAAATATAAAGGATTAAAATATTACAAAACATTATTTTCTAGCCTACGTAAATATGAAAAATCACTGCTTTTATGTCTTCTTCATCTCGGGAGGCATTTTCAGTTCATTCATAACAATTTGCTTTTGTATAATGTTATTATTATTAGCAGTATTATTTATTATATCCATATTTATATTTGTTTTATTAAAAACAAGCTTAGATTTGCCCACCTGTCAGGTTTAAGACCATATGGGGCATGGCAGGTGTATTTGGAAATAACTCAGTATTTTGACCACACTTGGTTATTATTGTTCATTTATTCGTTTGCTGGAAATTTTAACTGAATTTAGAAATAGTTTTGAAACAAATCTTTGCGCTTAACAAACAAAATTAATTATTTATAGGCTAATTGATGTCTGTGCGTAAAGGTTTCCCTATCCAAGAGCGAATGTGAAAGTAGAACCATTATCTCTCATTCTCACGCAGTAGATGCTCTGTTTAACAGTTTTCTGTTAAAAAAACTGTCAACTGTTAACTGTTTGCTTGTGAAATGCTCATTTTTTTCACTTAGACTTACTTTGCGTCTTGGCGCTCTTGGCGCGACGCAGCTGACTCTTAAACGGGAATGGGAGATGAGACTAATTGGTTCATTTTCAAAACACACCTATAACTCATTAAGAAAATAAACTCAACCCTTTTAGAACATGCGCCTTGGCGCAAGGCAGATTTCCCGTCCTTAAATTAGCAAAAACACATCCTGACACGCCCTGAAAGCGTTTGCGCCCTGCGTTTTGCGCTCTGCGCATGGACCGTCAAAATAGAGCCCATTAAGTCACCCGGGGCTCCCTCACATTTGCCAGGCGAGAGGGGAGTTTAAGCTCAGGTAGGTCTCGAGAACTCCCCTGCTGTAGTAGCTAATGAACAAATAGTAATTGCTCTTAAGAGATTACTAGGAGCATGTCTATGGTGCCGATTTGGATTGGTCAATTAACTTAAGTTGCATGTTTTTAGACGGTGGAAGAAAACTGGGAGGTGGGAGGAAATCGGGGAAACCCACGTGAGCACGGGGAGAACATGTAAACTCCGCACAAAAACGGCGGCTGGCTTGGTAAGGACTAAAATCAGTAATGTTCTTGCTGTGAGTCAACAGTGCCAACCGCTGGGCCACCGTGCCACCCAACTGGGAAAGGAGGACGAATAGGGATGAAAGGGGGGATTCTTCAAAACGAAGATGGCTGTTATATGGAACTTAGGGTATTTATAGTGGCTTAGGATTCGTCTGATTGGTGAATCATAATTTGGATTATGCGGGACCAGCCACAAGCAATCATAAGCACATGATCCTCTCGAAATTAGTTTACTAATAAACTTCACAACATGCAAGCAAAGGTATTTTATGGTTTGAAAATAAAAAAGGATACTAAAATATGACATAATATTCCATAATCATTTAGGGAAAATCCTATTTATGTAAGATTGAAACAGCATATTTTTCAGTGCAGTTTCAGCTTAGTTTCCTTTGTCGTTCAAAACATCACAGTAGATGCTATGCAGAGCAAAATTACGTTATTGACACCCAGCAAGAACATAAAAACATCAGAAAACATAATAAATAAGCATTTGTAATTTTATAAAAACATAAAAAAAAGATATAGTTATATATAAAATATAAACGAATTTTTAAAAAAAATCACAGAACGTATTGACTAAATACTTATTGCAGTTTGTTATGATAACTATAATACTGACAACATGTGCTAATTTAACTGTTTATGCATTTATTATTACATATTGGCAATCGATAATATTTAAAATGTGGTCTTCAAAAGTCTTATAATAACAGAATAAAAACTGTCACAAGACAGCACTCATTTGCTCCTCAGGCTTCGGTACAACCTGAGATTATAGGAGTATTGTACTTATTCTGACTATTTGGCACTTACTAAAAGAGGCATCAAATAAAAAAGTGGTTATGTTAATTTGTATACATATACCTGTATATAAAGTTTTAAAAATGACACATTATTTGAAAGACAAAAATATTTTGCACAGTTACAACTGTCTATCACTACTGAGCAATTTGAGTCCTTGATTAATAAAGTATTAGGTAATTGTATATATTATCACAAATATTTTATGACTGTCAAATCATATAAATTATAAACAGGAATAAATAAAGTTGTAAAATTAAAATATTTTCACTGTAAATAATAATTATGATTATTAATAATTATAATTAATAAATAATCATTTAAATTATTAACAGTTTCATAATATTTCATGATTTGTACATTTTCGCATTAAATCATATGGTTAACAATATGACATTTTGTATCACCTGAAGATTGTAAAATAAAAACTGTACACAGCAATTATTTAATGAGTGTGAATCATGACCTTTTGAATAACAATATGACAAACCCTAGTGATTTGAAGAATAGTGAAAAAAACATAAACTTTAAAAATTACTATAAATTATTATGTTAGTGTTATCAAATGTCATCAAATGATGTTCTAAATATGCTACTGTTTTTGACATACAATACTGTAACATTGAATGGCATTTAAGTGCATTTCTTCTATAAACACTGATAAAATGTATGATAATCATTTTTTGTTTTTGCTTGGACACATTCTAATGTATGGATAAAAATTTAAATAAAGCCATATTGTATTTTTTTTTTATTTCGATGCTTAAAAAAAAAAAAAAAATTCTCTTCAGAATAAAAGAGAACTGCATTCACCAACCCTTTTATTGTTGCAGGTCAGAAGCTGAGACAAGTCGGAACTGATTAACTTAAATGATCCAACAATTTCATTGAGATTCCCAGCATTCCTTGCTTCTATGAGGAATCCTTTGAAGTACTTTTTGCCTTCTGAAAACCCCATTGCTAATGTGACTGTGAAAATGAACAAACAGGTTACATTTATTTAGCTAGTTAGTTTGTTTTGACAGTGAAATCTATAAAAATCTGATGAGTATAGAAAAATACAGTGTTTGTACCTTTGACTTCATCCCCAGGGCTGAACTGGGATTTGTCTGCTGTAATGATGAAAGGTGGATCTGTGGTTTTGGGATCATAACCATGTTGAGGTGTCATGTCCTCACAAGCCACTACGACATTTCCATCACTGTAGCAAAGTACTGTCTCTGAATGTATTAAGAGAAGCAGCAGTACAATCCACATCTTCATGAGAACCTGGAATTAAATAAGTATTGAACTCGTCACGATTTTTCTCAGAAAACAAATTTGTAAAGGTGTCCTTGAAATTTTCCCCAAATGTTGGTGACAACCAAAGAAACCCATATATGCAAATCAAATTAAACTAATTAATTTACAAATCAAGTTTTGCATAATACAATTAAATGACACAGCAAAAAAGTATTGAACAAATGAAGAAAGGGAGGTGTAGAAAGGCAGTGAAAGCCCAGACAGCAGCTGAAAGCAGTAGTTATTTATTAACCCTCTGCCCTTCGCTGCTGTTAATGAACATCAGCTGCTTCAGTCCAATTTCTACATTATCATGATGATGATGAAACCAGAGTGGACATTTCAGCAAGACAATGATCCAAAACACAGCCAAGGAAACTCTCAAATGGTTTCAGAGAAAGAAAATCAAGCTATAGAATGACCAATCACCTCAACCTCAACCAAGGATTCCTCAACCAATCACCTGACCTGAATCCAAAATAGCTTCTTTAGAAATGTTATTCCCAGGAAAAAAACATAATGTGTTCAATACTTATTATTCCCGTTCTATACACAGTCAAGCCCAAAATTAATCATAGCCTTAACAAATTGACTTAAAGTTAGTTTTATTAAATATTTTATTCTGTATTTATTTTGACTGGAAATGACACAGGCTTCTCCCAAATGATAATAAAGTGATGTACAAGGGGTTATTTACATTTGTACAAAACCTTTAAGGGGTATGAATAATTCTGGGCTTAACTGTAATTAATTACTGAGCAATTTCAGCGCTATGGATGGGACATGTGCAGCAAAAACATGAAATGTTAACAGTATATTTAAACATTATATTTAAACATCTGTTTATATTTTCCAAAACAAATCAAATAAATCTGTAAACATATTTTCTATTATAAATGAAGAAAATAAATGTGTTATGTTAGTTTACAGCATACAACATACTTTGTAGAAGTTCTGTGAGTTAAACTGCACAACCTAAAAAGAAATAACACTAATCTAATGGATAAGAGCTGGCTCATTGTAAAACATTTTATTTTATTTGACATTTTTGAGGAAAAAGTTACATTACGGATGTGACAGATGTGAAATTGGCACTTTTGTGACGTTTGGCATTTCAAATATAATTGTTTTTAAAAGGTTGATGGACATTTTGAAATGTATTTACAGTACAGTAAAAATGCAAGCCTACACACACAAAAAAAAACTTAAAAAGGGTTTCGCTATTTTGGTGAAAAAAACATTTTGTTTTTCATGGCAAAGTTGTCATTTGCATGGAACTGCTCTACTCTAAAAGCCAAACCTCATAAAGATTTATTCTCAAACCCAAGTACTATCATGGTACTGAAGTAGATTTTATTTTATTATGTTTTTGATAAAAGTCTCTTCTGCCCAACAATCATGAAATATTAATAAAATGTTAAATAACTGTCATTTTACAATGTAATTTATTTCTCTTTTGCTAAGTTGATTTTTTTTTACCATCATTACTACAGTATTCATCAGTGTCACATGATCTTTCAGAAATGCTAATTTGCCAGTCATAAAATATTTATGAAATTATATACATATTAGCATTAAATAAAACTTGGACAGACAACAAAAAATTTACAAAATAGTTATTTCAAATAGTGTCATTTTTCATTTTATGGTTTATATTTTCCAAAACAACTAACCACAGAATTTGGAATAAGAAAATTATCAATCTGTAAACGTTTTTTAGATTTTAAATATATAATATAAAATATACATGCATTAATGATGTGATGGAAAAAGCCTGCGAGTTTACAGTACACAATATACTTTGTAGAAATTCTGTGAATTAAAATGCACAACCCAAAAGAAAGAATGCGCATCAAATGCACACGATTTGTCTCTCTCTAAAACAAAAATTATTGATTTTATTTTATTTAATATTTTGGAATTTATGAGGAAAAAGTGTCATTATGGATGTGACACCTCTCTGTTATGGATATGACAGATGTGAAATTACCACTTGTGTGACATCGGCGAACAAAAAATATTATTGTTTGAAAACATTGACAAGGACATTTTAAGTATTTTTAAAGTACTGTAATATACTTCCTTAAAATGTAGAAACAATTTTGATATTGAAAGTTTTTTTTTTTTTCATGGCAATGTTACATTTGCATGGAATTACTCATAAAATAGAAATCCTAAAGTCAAATGTAAATATTTAAGAACCAATATTAATGATTAAGTCATAATAACTAATAATAACAGAGCGGTAAATGAGCATAATATAATCATTTCTGAAAAATCATATAGAATTAGCCTAAAGTTGGTTTTATATTTGCACATTCTGACTTTTCAGAAAAGTATTCTTTGAAATCATTTTAGCAAACAAATTACTTTCAAAGTACAACATTGTTCATAGTCAATTAATTAGTGCTAATATTGTTTTGAAGTCATACTTGCATGTTATTTATTTCTGACCGAATATTCACAGAAGCATGGTAAACAATGTAGGGAAAGTGTCACAAGTTGTCACTGAATGAATGTGTGAAAAAAAAGTACTTTATCTCAAAAAAGTTAGACGATTTATTTAAATAGAAATGAGGTTCTTTAACCAAAATAATATTTTATGATATTGCTGTTTTTATTGCAGTTTTGATCAAACCAGCACAGTCTTGGTGGTCATAAGAGTCTTTTAGAAAACATTTAGACATTTTTATTTTAATTTAAATTTTAAATTTAAATTTTAAAACTTTTAACCGGAACTGTAAATGCCCTAAACTCAAGCAAGAGTTGTACAAAATACATGGTAAAAGCATGGTAGTTTGAGTTACACAGAATTCAGTTCTTCAAATCTATAATCCAGTCATAAAAGTACACATAGTCAAAAGCATGTTACAACTGCTTTTCAAAAAATAAATATTGGGGTACAGTTGGTTTTACATTCGCACAATAGTTCAGTGACAACTTGTGGCATGCTACTATACCTATATTATGTACCTATATTACAGTAGTCATTGGCTGCTAATAATATTTCAATATTTAGAATTTGCATTGAATACTTTTATCAAATGTTATTAGGAAAAAATGTGTGAAAATAAAACTAACTTTACCTTAAAAAGTTTAAAGAATTATTTACATAGAAATAAGTTTTTTTAATTAAAATAATATTTTATGATATTGCTGTTTCTTATTGCATTTTAGATCAAGCATGCACAACATTAATAACAATAAGATTCTTTTAGAAAACATTTATAAATTTAAATGTTTCCAAACTTTTAACTGGAACTGTAAATGCCATAAAAAACCAAGCAAGACTCGTACAAAAAAATAAAATAAAATAATAATAAAAAAGAAAACATGGTAACTTGAGTTACACAAAATACATTGTTCTTCAAGTTTATATTCCAGTCATAAAAGTACACAGTCAAAAGCACGCTACAACTGCTTTTCAAAAAATAAATATTGAGGTAAAGTTGGTTTTATATTCGCACATCCATTCAGTGACATATTGTGGCATGCTACTATACCTATATTCTTTTACTTCAAAACAACATTAGCACTATTTATCTGACAGTGAACAATGTTGTACTTTGATAGTCTTTGGCTGCTAATATAGATTCTCTATTTAGATTTGCATAGATTACTTTTCTGAAATGATAATAGGAAGAAACTGCTAATGTGTGAAAATAAAACCAACTTTACCTCAAAAAGTTTCAAGATTTATTTACATAGAAAAGAGGTTCTTCAACTAAAGAAATAAGAAATATTTTATGATATTGCTGTTTCTTATTGCATTTTTGATCAAACAAGCGTAGCCTTAGTAATCATAAAAGTCACTTAGAAAATATTTAGAAATTTGAATGTTTCCAAACTTTTAACCGAGACTGTAAATGTCATAAAACCAATCAAGACTTGTACAAAAAACATGGTGATACCATGGTAATTTGAGTTGAATACATAGTTCTTCAAGTCTATAATCCAGTCATAAAAGAACACATAGTCAAAAGCATGTTACAACTGCTTTGCAAAAAATACATATTGGGGTAAATTTGGTTTTATATACGCACAATAGTTTAGTGACAACGTGTGGCATGCTACTATACCTATATTGTTTACTTCAAAACAACATTAGCACTATTTATTTGAAAGTGAACAATGTTGTATTTTCATAGTCATTGGCTGCTAATATAATTTCAATATTTTGAACTTTTCTAAAATGATATTATTAGGGATAAAGTCAGAATGTGTGAATATTAAACCAACTTTACCTCAACAAAAAAGTCTGTTGTCTAATCAGTTTTTACTGAAAAACCTGCAAATAAAGATAAGGAAGGGGAGTGCGACTGTTAACTGACTCCAGACCAGCACTAAAAGACTTAACAGAAAATACAAATTTACTAATCCAAAAATAATAACGCCAGAAATTCAAGCTCAAGTTTTGATGACATAACTAAACCAGATAGTTTTAGCTTTAGTAAAGTGAGATATATGAGTCAAGGTCACGTTTCTGTCTCGTGCGTCAGCCTGATGGCATCTACTTATACAGACAGATAGGAATAAAAGTGTTAATGGAAGCAAAACAGAGAAATTCGACCTCTTAAAAGCTGACAAGGATCAACTGTGCTCATATATAGCAGCCTCATTCACCTTTTACAGTACACTGATACTGTAGCTAGCAGGAGAAACCGCACTTCCTAGTTGACAAGACGTCTGCGCATGTGTACAATGAAAACAAGCTGGCCAAATAAACAGTCAGGCACAATAAACTGCAAACGGAAAGATGAAACAATATTTGCTCTTACCTCAATTAATTTAAAATAAACTACTAAAGCACCATCCCATAACAATAAAGCACAGTTGTGAGTGAGTAGCTTGTCACATGCTAAGATGTGGGTGGTGTTATTGAGAAGGAGGCGTTTGATTGGTTGAATGAAGTGTGGTTTCTCCTTTGGGTATATGTAGATGAGGCTAGGCTAAACCAATGGCTAAACCTACAGACAATGTAGTTTCACTAGTAATTCAGGTTTCATTGACAAATATACAGTATTTTTATGCTAATCAAAAAACTCCAAATGACAACATTTTAATTTAAATCCAGACTTTATTATTAGTTTATTATATCAATCAATGCTAGTTTTTTTGTTTGCTTGTTTTGTTTTACAATACTTTTAGCTGCAGAATAATTAATAAATCATTATGTGGTGGGATACATGCAAATGTTTTGCAAACAGCTGTTACATTTGTTATATTAGTGGGAAAATATATATTTAGATGTTCAACTGTTTTCCAGAGATGGGTTGCGGCTGGAAGGGCATCCGATGTGTAAAAACTTGCTGGATAAGTTGGCGGTTCATTCCGCTGTGGCGACCCCGGATTAATAAAGGGACTAAGCCGACAAGAACATGAATGGATGAATGAATGTTCAATTGTGTCTTTTTATATTTATAAAACGTCTGTAGCAAAAGTTCCTTCAGCTGATGTTATTGCATTAACGTTAACTTGAGACCTTAGAAAATATTGCACGTTAATACAGAAAAACAAAGCTTTTTGTTATTACACCTGTTAAATAAACCAATTTTCTGCAGTTTATGTCAAGTTTGTGATAATACTGTTACTGTTTTTGTGTATACTTTTGTTTCAACGTATTTTTTAAACAAGCACGTGGATTCTAGTGAAAAAACTACATTACCCATGATGCTGTACTAAAAATTGCACCAATCAGAAAATGGAGTAAGCAGCATCATCTCTAATCGAAGCAGAAACTCTGCTAACGAGGTAACCAAGTTTGTTTTCTAATTAACTAAAAGTATACTGAAACTATATCGTTTCTATATAACCAACACTTTTAAAGTGCATAAAGTAAGTTATGCATACTTCTACTATTTCTACACCTTTGCAATTCTCTACTTGTGTCTTTTTTCGGGTTCTGTACGGTATTTACGTATTTATTTGCTTTAATTCAAAGTTTGTAATGTATTGTGATTCTTTATAAAGCTGGTTGGTTTGTTTCATCACATGTTGACTTATTCTTTTAAATTGTTATTGTGTCAGAACCTGCTGAAGTGCTGGGTGAGTCTACAGAAAATTTCCCCTTGAGGGACAATAAAGTCGACAAACAAACAAACAAACAAACTTAAACTGCTTTAAAATGAGGAAACTAATGGGAAAATACTTCAGGTGTGCTGATGGAAAAAAAATAGGTGAGCTGGGACCTCGGGTATTCAGGTAAAGTCGTTTTTAGCTTGAAATAAAATCGTTCTCGTGCTTGTGTGATATAACTGAAATACACAAGTAATAATAATAAATTATTATTTAAAAATATTTATATTTTTTAAATAGACATTATTAAAAACCACAATATTATTTTTGCTGAAAAATTAAACCATAACATGTCTGTAATTCCAAGAAATTCCATAGCACATCTATATCCTGCATGCACGAGGCATGTTCTCACTGATGTAACCAAGAAGATGCCACACTAAAGGTACAGGCTATATTTAGGGTCACTGAAAGGTCATGTCACCTCATATGCATGACCTTATTAGACGCATAAGCTCTGCTCTATGGCCAACATCGGGTGACACTCCGATGAGGAGTCTGTCGGATGTTGCTGGTAATTAAACCTTTAATAGTTCATTTTAGTATTGCCACCTTGATGTAGCGCTTACTTTACATTCTAATGCATGAAAAGCTTTTTTTTTTTATTACACAGCTGTCAAAATAAGATGCCTCAGGTGTTAAGATATGTCTTATTTTGTAGCTGTTTTATTGTCTGTGCATTAAGTGTTGATCTGTATATCCTATACAGTCCTATACAGTTATACAGACAGATAGATAATTATACAGTTACAGTTATGATCATATACAGTTATTGTTATTTTTTGCAATGTCCATCATGCATGTGGTAGGCTATGTGTAAATATCTATCTATCTATCTATCTATCTATCTATCTATCTATCTATCTATCTATCTATCTATCTATCAATCTATCTATCTATCTATCTATCTATCTATCTATCTATCTATCTATCTATCTAACAATCTATCTATCTATTGCTCTGTCTGTCTGCCTGTCTGTCTGTCTGTCTCTCTATCTATCCATCTATTTGAGTATCTGTCTATCTGTGCATCTGTTTATCAATTGAGTTTGTCTGTCTGTCTGTCTGTCTGTCTGTCTGTTTATCTTTGTATCTATTTGTCTATCTGTGTATTAATTTATCTATCTATTGCTCTGTCTGTCTGCCTGTCTATCTATCTATCTATCTATCTATCTATCTATCTATCTATCTATCTATCTATCTATCTATCTATCTATCTATCTATCTATCTATCTATCTATCTATCTATCTATCTATCTATCTATCTATCTATCTATCTATCTAACAATCTATCTATCTATTGCTCTGTCTGTCTGCCTGTCTGTCTGTCTGTCTCTCTATCTATCCATCTATTCGTGTATCTGTCTATCTGTGCATTAGTCTATCTATTGATCTGTCTGTCTGTCTGTCTGTCTGTCTGTCTGTCTGTCTGTCTGTCTGTCTCTCTGTCTGTCCGTCCGTCTATCCATCCATCCTATTCATGTTTCTATGTCTATTTATCATTCTATCTATCTATCTATCTATCTATCTATCTATCTATCTATCTATCTATCTATCTATCTATCTATCTATCTATCTATCTATCTATCTATCTATCTATCTATCTATCTATCTATCTATCTATCTATCTATCTCCATGTGCTTAAGGTAAGGTCAGTAGGTCAGATTTGTACGCGAACATTGTTGAGATCCTGTCAAACGTGCAAATCCTCCGCTATCCTGTATCAAATGCAGCAGATTGTTCACATGTTGTTCGTTGTTATCATATGGCAGCCCGAACTGCTGGAGATCCAGACGCAACCTTTCCTGTGTTTAAAGGGCATCCCAAAAAAAGCACCGCCAGCATGTTCCGTGGCAAACAGACCCGAGTGCTTCTCCTGAATGACATGGAGAGCATGGAGCGCACTCTGTTTCGCCTGGAGCAAGGTAGGTCTCATTATTATACCTGTGTTTTTAAATGTGACCGTGGATTGCAAGTGCATATATTTCAATTCATGCAATCACCATCATCTGTACTATAGTGCTGTTATTTTTATTGTTTGATATGTTTATATTTTAGCATTTTAAGTGCTAATATTGATGCAGAAATGAGCTTACTCATCTTATTTCCCTTCCTTTATTACTCTCTGCAACTCAAGACTTTTTGGACCCCAGGAGGTGGATAGATTTACGGGATACTCGTGGTCTATGAGCGCCGAATATCACATTCAAACGGCGCTCCGCTATATATAGTGGAGGAATGTTCTGGTGTTCTGTGCTGTTTTCTGTGGTGCTCATAATTTTAGATTTAAATATAGTGTACTATAGTATGTAAAGGTGAGACTGTTGCTATATAGAGAATAGAAACAGTGCTATATTTAACCGTGAATCTAAATCTCCTATTTGTGTGGTCTTTATTGAGGAATTTATTGTGGGTTTGTAAAATAGCCTAAATATATTAGATTTATGAGTAAAATAATAGTTTAGTCTACCTGAAGAGATGGACAAAAATGTTGTAAAGAAATTTCTAAGGTGATTAAATATCATGCTGTTGATTGCAAGATTTAAATTAAAAGTTCATTTGTATTTGGTAAATTATACAACATTTAGCTTCAACATTGCATTACACCTTTACTTTATTTTTTTATTACATTTTGTTTCCCAAAATACAAAAAACATCATGCATTTTAAAAACCAAATGGTATATCAAAAGTATAATCTATAACCAGGCCCACATGGAATTTGTTGACTCAGAAATCCACAGATTTGTGCAGATTTTTAACCAATCGTTGAATCGATATATTTACTTGTGTAAATGTGTGTACATTTTTATTTATTCAGTCTTTAAATTAATTTCACTAATGTTATATTTATATAATGTTACTAGTAACATTAAAATGATTTATTTATAATCCAGTTTGTAAAGTAATATTTTCTGTCTTTTAGACATTTGGTAGATTTCAAGAATTCACACTTGCTGATGATTGATTATAAAGCTTGTTTGGCATGCTGTCCCGGGCGAGAGCCCTAAGCTTTTTAAGATCCTTTAGCCCAGAGCTACCTCTTGTTTGCAAGGCAAGAGGGGAGTTTTAAGCTCAGGCAGATCTCGAGAAGTCCCCTGCTGTAGTAAGGAATTAGCTTGGTAAGGACTACGTTCTTGCTGTGAGGCAACAGTGCTAACCACTGGGCCACCGTGCCACCCATCTAGGAAAGGAGGAGGAGTAGGGGTGGAAGGGGCGATTCTTCAAAACGAAGATGGTTGTTATATGGAACTTAAATGGTATTTATTGTGGCTTAGGAATTGTCTGATTGGTAAATCATAGATTAAATATTGCGGGACCGGCCGCAAGCAATCATAAGCACGTGATCCTCTCGAAATTAGTTTATAAATAAACTTTATGTAATATATGAGAGACTTGCTTTGTTCACCAAATAAGTGGATCTAATTGGATTTGCATTGTAAATATTAAATAAAAGTTAAAAAGGTGTGCTTTTCATAAATTAAGTTAATTAAATTAAGTAAATTATGATACTCCTAAAATCATTACGCATAAATCCGCAGATTTTTTACACAATTCTCTGCAGAAATAGCAAAAAATGTCCGCAGATTCCGACTGGCCCTACCTACCGTAAACCTTTAGAAAAAAAAAAAAATAAATCGGGTAATTGCAAAATTCAGACAGCATAATTTTGGCTGTACTGTACATCTTGAAAGTTGTGAAATCAAAATTATTAAGTTTAGACGGTTTAGTTTTTTTGAAATAAAATAATTAAAAAATAAACTATATATATATATATACACACACACACACACACATACAGTTGAAGTCAGAATTATTAGCCCCCCTGACTTATTAGCGCCCCTGTTTATTTTTTTTCAAAATTTCTGTTTAATGGAGGGAATATTGTTTCTGCACATTTCTAAGCATAATAGTTTTAGAAACCTATTTCTAATAACTGATTTATTTTATCTTTGTCATGATGACAGTAAATAATATTTTACTTGATATTTTTCAAGACACTTCTATACAGCTTAAAGTGACATTTAAAGGCTTAACTAGGTTAATTAGATTAACTAGGGAGGTTAGGTTAATTCTAGAGAAAGTCTTTTTTTTTTTTTT